TTGTATACGGAAATCCCACAAGATCTTGACCATCTGATTTATTATTATTATTATTATTATTATTATTATTATTATTATTATTATTATTATTATTATTCTACTGAATGTTAAATGACTCAGACAACGCAATGTTCACTAAGAACCTATGTTGATTAAAATAAATAAAAATAAAAAATATATAAAAGAAGAATTGGACTCGGAGCCTCTGGGGCAGTGATGGCAAATTTGTTTTGGCTGCCATGCCCAAAGTGGTGGTAGCACAGGGGGGTCATGTGCCGGCATGCCACACCCATAATGCTATGTGCGCAATCAGAGACAAACCCCCCCCCTGCTTTTGCTGCGCTTTTTTTCGCCTACCCCAGGCTCCAGAGGCTTTCTAGGAGCCTGGGGAGCGCGAAAACAGCCCCCTCAGATGCCCTCTGGAGGCCTCAGGAACTTTCCTGAAGCCTCCGGAGGGCAAAAAATGGACGTACAGGGAACACGGAAGTTCGGGAATGGTGACTTCCTGTTTGTCCGTATGGTCAATTTTCGCCCTCCAGAGAAGGTTCCGGAGGGCGACAAACAGTCCAACGAGCAAACCGGAAGTCCATTCCTGAAGTTCTGGTTTGCCCGTAGGGTTAGTTTTTCGTGCTTTGGAGGCTTCAGGGAAGCCTCCAGAGGGCGAAAAATGGCCTCAAAAGAAGAGCAAAGTCAGCTGGCGCGTGCTGGCCAGCAAATGACTCCGTGTGCCACCTGTGGCACATGTGCCATAGGTTTGCCATCACAGTTCTGGGGGAACGTAACGACTCTCGGCTCATGACTTGTTTAACTCCACCCTCGGCTCTGCCTCCTCTGCTCCTACGTTAAGTTCATTTCCCAAGGAAAGAAATAATTCCTTTCAAGGTACATGGAAAAACAAGGCTGAAGGGGTGGGGCCAGGCTACTCAAGGGAATGCAAACGCTGGCAAGTAGAGGCTAATTATCTTATTAGATCCTGCTTAAAACACTGGCAAATATTTATGGCGCAGCTTGCAATGAATGACAACAAAGTGGCCTTGAGACCAGAATGGGAAAAACAGAAGCATCCAGCAAAATCGCACTCTTGCTGACTTCAAACCCTTTGGTTGGGTTTCCACAACCCACGGGAATGGCAATTTTGGCCAAGTCACACACAAAACTTTCCCAGAAACTCAGAAAATACATTATTAATTGGCCAAATCTCAGCTCAATGTTCCTGCTCAAACTTTCAGAATAGTTCAGATTAAAAACAACAAAACCCTGTAACATTTCAGTCTAAAATATCAACATCCTGTAAGATTTTAGTTGAGAATATGGAAACCTTCCAAGGCTTGGAGGTGAGAATGAAAGTACATATTACAATAATTGATTTTGGATGCATGGATGGATGGATACATGATCAATAGGTAGGGAGGGAGGGAGATGTTGGAGAAAGAGAGAGAAAGACAGACAGACAGATAGATAGATATAGATTGTAGAGAAAGAGAGAAAGAGACAAAGATATATAGATAGATGAGAGAGAGAAACATGATAATTGATTGGTCTTATTACCACATCAATAAAATAAATAAAAGAAAAGAAAATAAATAAAAGAAACTAAATCAAATAAATCAAATAAATCAAATAAATCAAATAAATCAAATAAATCAAATAAATCAAATAAATCAAATAAATC